CTGAGCAAAGAGGAAAAAAAGAACAGTGGATGCCATGGGTCAGTGTGGAACCCAAAAGGAGAAAATGCATCTCCATAAAGGAAGCTGAGAGTCAATACAAGGTAACAGCTGCATTACCTTACAGGTAAGAAGTGAGCTAAAAAATTGAAAAGTCACAAGAAGGACTGTAGGGGGGAAAAGATGTCCTAAAGCTAATTCCATACAGGCTTTGTGGACTCCACCCCCACCCCAGGCCAAAGCCAAAGACACTGGGAACTCCAAATCCCATCACCACCAAAGGGAAGGTGGTTGGGACCTGAGGGTGGGGTTAAGCAGCCAGATTGGTACAAAGCCAGACACGTGGGCTTTGGGGATCCCCATTTTGACTATCCACCAGCTCGCAGCGTTTGGCCAGCTCTGAGAGTGCCTTTGGGTTTCCAGGTCGTCGGATCGGGTAGGACGCGTAAAAGACTTTATTTCCCTATTTTCTCCCTGAGTTGTACATTTTCCTTATTTCCTTTTCCCTTGTAAATAAACCTTTTATTAACCTTTTGTGTATGCCTGTAGTGGAGTAGTAATAAGTCCCTTGTAAGCGCGCGGGTGAGGACCCACAGCCAGCAACCCGTTCAATATCGGGGCTGTCCTATAACAGGACTAGTCTGCTTTGTAGAAATCACACAGAAAAAAAAGCGCTTCAGATGTTCACTGTAACTGTTATAGAGGGGCAGCCCAAAACCCGCAAACCTGCCTATTCTAAATGGGTTCTGCCGCATCAACACAGAACATATGAGATTTTAATGAAAAGAAACATCAGTACAATTAGTAAACAGTACAGGAAAGGCTAAGAGTCTAGTTTCTAAATGAAGCACCCAAAGTTACCCGCCCCCTCGTAGGTAAAAGTCCATCCATATGGGATCGGCCCAGAACAAGGCCCCAAAGCCTGCTACAAGTCTAAAGCATCTTCCAGTGGGGACCCACAGAAAAGGGTCAGAAACAACCAGACAAGCCCGGAAGGAAAAGAGCAAAATCAACCTCAAGATAAAAGCTGCCACTGTCACCTCCCCACAGGTCTCACCCACATCTGTGTCACCCAGTCCACGACCAAAAGACAAGCGCAGTTTCTTCACGTGTCTCTAGGCTCCATGCGCCTCCTCCAGGTGTCCTTCTGGCTCCATCCTGCTTCCTTCCTTCCTCAGTCTCCTCTGCATCCTCTTCTCTTCCTGCTCAGCTCCACCCTCCCTGGGGTGGGGCAGGGAACCTGGAACCTCCCCCTTTCCTGGGGACCACCCTGTTACATAACTGTGTTTACAAACTAAACTAGCATGATGTGATTACTATACATTAGAGCCTAAGCATTACTGAAAAGTATTATTCCAACTCAAGTCCCAGAAAGACACAGGTAACATAATATAATAATTATGATTACATATATTTTCAGTATTTCATTGCTCAAGTCACGCTAATTTTGAAATCTTCATCTTCTGTAACAACCATTCAATTTCACATATTTGACCCTACAAATGACTCACTGAGGAAATCCCTTTTCTCTTTGTCTATTTTGAAGGCTAATTCTCAGATTTTCACTTTATTTTGATGTCTCTTTCACCTTTATTAGTTTCTCCCTAGAAATCTAAATATCAGAAAAAAAGATTCTCCATGCAATTTCACAATCACTTTAATGAAAATTAGTTTTTAAACTCCATTTATAAATAGTACATGTTAATTACATCTAAATTTTTTTTAAAGGGTGGGACTGTTACAGGCTAAATGTTTGTGTCCCTCCCAAAATGAAGCTCATCTCTAATTCTGGAGGTGGGACCTTTGGTAACTGAGTGGTAACTGAGAGGTAATTAAGGATTTTATTTTATTTATTTTTTTAAAAACCCAAATTTTTTTTTAAAGATTTTATTTATTTATTTATACAAACACTGGGTACAGTCAGAAGTGGGGGAGGGTGAGAGAATTCACCAGAGTCAGAGGGAGAGCAGAACAGGCAGAATGACCAAGTACACTGCTGAGGGGAGCGGAGGGCAGTAGGAGAGGTTTGCGCGCCATGTGGGACCCTTGCCAGTGGCCGGGGATAGAACCGGCGCTGAAGAAGTTGCGGGCAGCTTCGCAACCCAGTGCTCAACCGCTGCACCACCAGGGAGGCCCTAATTAAGGATTTTAAATCTAAATCACACCTGAAACTTCTTTTACTCTCCTTCACAGGAACCAAATAGTTGATTTCTAGCTACTCCAAAAGGATTTTCAGCTTAAATTCAAAAAGCAACTATTTATTAGCAAAATGATCTCTTACTATTTCATAATTTTAGAAAACACATACATAAGCATTGACAGAGGACAGGAATAGTGAAAAAACTAAAAGAAGCACCACAAGAACAGAAACCTGGCTCACACTAGGAGGTGGGGGCAAAAGAGATTAGCATAACATAGACACTAGTATCCTGAGGTGCAGTCTAAAGATATGGAGACTGAGCCCAAGGGACCCCCAAAGGTAAAGATATGGAGATTAAGCCCACTGTGGAATCTCCAGGCCCTTCAAAATTCTACATAGTTGTCCAAAAGTAGCAACCAACTGACAGCTCAGGAGTGAGCCCCTCCCAAACAGAAGAAGACTATATCAATTGCAGTCTCTGCACTGGCTCTGAGCAGCACTCCCACTGCCCACCTGTGACTATGCAGGTGCCTCTTTTCACCAACTCTCTCCCTCTACAGGGCAGCAGCTTCCTGCCTGCCCATGACCTGTCAAGGCCGCCCTCCTGCAACCACGCAGGCCTCTCTGAGCAAACCTGTCCCTTCTGGGGCAGCTCTTCCTGTCCGCTTTTGTCTATGCAAGTGTACTTTACTTTTCTGACCCGTTTCCTAATAAACTACCCTTTAAATAGAACGTCCGTCTCTGACTCGTAAAGAAACATGCCACTGAAAGGGAAACTCTGGTAAAACCTTTCCCAGAGTGAACCCAAGGACCCTGCACTAAGTCAAACCACACCAGCAATGGATTCCTCACTCCTCAAGAGCTGATCATCAGTAGTTCTCAACATATTCTAACCACTTTTCAACACCAGAAAGATTTTTGTGTTCCACAACTAAAAAACCCAGCCACATCCAGTATAACTTGTCCAAGAAATAAGTGACTAGCTATACCTCCCAATTAAATGTGAATCCAACAAGCATCTTTAATAATTGGCAAGAATAAAACTTCAAATATATCCCCATATGTAGGTTTCTTTTTAAACATATTGTTAGGGGGAAAAGGATGTCCTAAAGCTAATTCCATACAGGCTTTGTGGACTCCACCCCCACTCCAGACCAAAGCCAAAATACACTGGGAACTACAAATCCCATCACCACCAAAGGGAAGGTTGCTGGAACCTCATCAAACTAACTTCAGAATTTGCCATATTTCCTAAAACTACAGTGTTGCCATATCTACAGGAAAACCAAAACAAATTAACAACTCCATAATAAAACGAGGCGTCTCTACTGTCATGATGCACCTTAAGGCTGTAAAATACCAAAAATTTAAATTTTAATCTTTTTAAGACCCTCTTCGCATCTTTTCATTATAATTTACAAATAGTAAACTGAATTCTTAAATATGGTAAATGAACTAAGATTATCCACCAAGTCTGTAAAGAATAAAAGTACCAGTAAGAGCTACAACTTAACTATGATATCCAAATATACCACGGTATTAAACAGAGTTACTACATTAACAAAGTTCCCCATATTCTTAGTTAACAGCAATCAGCACAAAGAAGTAAATAGTTTAATAATATGCCACCAGAAAAACCTTTTCCAAAAAGGTAACATTGCAGTTTTACACTATGTCCTTTGGATTATTTTTCAAGGAATATCATCATATTCAAGTCTCTATTTTTGTTAGAAACATTTCCAAGGCAATAAAGAGGAGGAAATCCTAAGATCAGTAATTTTACGTTAATCTTCAGTAATGAGAGGCAGCATGGCAGAGGAGAAAACAGTTACACACATGCCTGAATCTTATGCATTCACCACCACTAAAGTGAAATGGGATCAGAGCAGTTTAATCACTCAGAGCCTCTGTTTGTTAATCTATTGAACAAAGAGAATGCCCCATGCTGTTATGAAAAATATGTAAGAAAGGGCATATTATTATCAACAATTAAAACTAAAATACCATGGGAGTTTTCGATTTTTTTTTTAAAGCAAACTCCCCCAAGTAATACAGAGCTACACAGGTTAATCTAAGATCTCAGGCTATACATGTTCAGAACCAGACTGTTTTTGTAACTGTCTTACTCAGTTCTGTTTTTCCGGAATGCTAGCACCCAACATAAACATACAGTATATTTTCAATTAAAAAAAAAAAAGTCAGTGATTAAGTCAACAAAGCCTCCTGCTCTTCCACGCACAAAAATATAAAAATAGGTATTTTCCAGCTTTGTCTTACTTAACAGTAACGTTAACCATTGTTCCACTTATCTGATTACTTACTCCTTATGGTTTACTACCAAATATTTAATACCGGGCAGTGTGAGGTTTTGGAGTTTTTCCCTTTTCTCTGAAATACAAACTTGCATTCTACCTTACCTCCTCTTCACACTTCAGACAGGAAATGAGTTTGTTTTCAACCATGTGGAATTTGAATTTACTTTTTAGAAAACACTGTAAAAGTAATAATCTATTTTAGTAGACTGTTTTATGCAGTCCTTCAGGCCTCATGTAAGTTACCATTAACCTCTGTGGAAATGTATTACTCAACTTGCCTAATACGCAAGTATTCCAATCTGACTTTAGAAGTCTGAAAGTTTGACCACACAGTTTTAAAAATGACCTTTATCCCTTCTTAAAAGCTAAGAAAATATATGGAAAAACTGGAGGCACTTTTCAGCCAAAATAAAAAAAAATAAAAATACACAAGTATTTAGCTTTTTAAAAAGAACGAGATATGTAATAACATAGATATCCGTGAGTACTACTAGCTAATAAAAACTGTATGCCATAGTGATGCAGATTTTGTTTGTAAGCATACTTACTGTATGCGCAGAAAAATCTTAAAGGTTAAACACCACACTTGAAGTCAGTCTGGCTACCAACCCCAGGTACTAAGAGGAAAAAGGGGGGAGGGTGTGGGGCGGGGAGGCAAAGCTGACGTCTTCATTGTTTGGCTGCTAAATTTTTTTCTTAAAGAGCACGTAGTATTTTTGCAAATTAAAAAAAAAAATGGGCGAAAATAACTCGGTAAAACTACACTTTCTCGTCCGTCTACCAAATCCTTGTAATTAAAAAAAAAAGAATTTTGATTTCTCAGTTGTCTTTTAACGGGCATACCCAAGAGAAGTTTAAAAAAAGAATCTTGGGTTTACAAAGCGAATCCCTCTGGTTCTACTCTCCACGCTGGGGGTTGAAATACCCTAACGACAGGCGCTGCACTAGTAGCACATACTCCAACAAAACACCAGAAAGTCAGGCAATGTTAGCGCCTGCTTTGGCCTCTTGTATCCCTTCCCAGTCCCAGCCCCAGCCCCCAAGATTTCCCTGAAGCTACGTAGGTTGAATTCTCTTCCTTCAAAATCAAAACAACAACAGAAAGTCACGGGGTAGAGCCGAAAAGGCCCGACGGAGCCGCGGAAGTCCGAGGACAGCAAGGTGGGGGCGTCTGCGCGGACCCCCCGTCAGGACCAGAGCCGCGGGACCGCGGCAGCCCCAGCGCCCCCTCGACCCCCAGCCCCTCTACTCACACGTCCCCGAGGACCCCGGCTCCCGACTTCCCGCCCCTTTCGAGCCCCCAGACTCCCTTGAACACCCCCCTCCCCCGACTCCCAAGACCCGGACCTCCAGGTCTCCCTCGAGACCCAACCCCAGCCGCCCGGCCCCGAAGCGCGCCCGCGCCGCCCGCGCGCCGAACACGCCAACCCACGCGACCCAGAGCCCCGGGCGGCTGCGTTACCTGTGGCGAGGCGGTCGTCCGGCCAGCCGCAGCGGCGCGCAGGGTCAGGCGCTAGGACTCGGAGGGCTCCGCGGCAGCCGGCCGCCGCCACCGCCACAACAACACGGCCTCCCCCACCGCCGCCGCCGGGGGAGGGGCGGAGCCGGGACCCAAGGCTGGGGAAGCCCAGACCTCGCGGCCTTCAGAGGCGTCGGGGACCTGGGCATGCGCAGAAAGCCGCGTGCGCGAGGGCAGTTTCGCGAGGACGCCGAAGTCAACAAGGCCTGGGGACGCCCCCATCCGGCTCCGCCCCCCTCTGAGATCGCACCGCCCTCAGACCCAAACAACGCGAGGTCTTGACAGGGCCTGGGGACGGCGGCGGTTGAATTAGATCCCGCGAGAGCACGGCCTGAGCGTCCCCTCCCCCTCCCCCCGAGAAGGGAAGACGCTGGCTCTGGTGGCTGAGTGTGGGGTTGGTGGTGCTTCCTGGGGATTTCCACGACCTTGGGAGTGAGCGCGTCTAGACGTCAGTCATCTTCGAGGGTGCTTCTCGGCGGGCTGGCCCTGCGGTGGCTTTTGTGGAGAACGCTCCCCGGTTAATCTGAAAATCCATGGGTTTTCCTCCAGACTGTGCTCCTTCGGAGGCGTGCCCGTCGCCTGTGGTGAACATCGGCCTCTGGGCTCCCGTCCCCGGCCGGTGTGGGCTTCTGAGCCACCTGCCTGAACGCCCGGACACCTGTGTTCTCCACCGGGCTCCAGACCTGAGCTTTATCTTTCCACCCCCTAACATGTTCTCTTCATTTAAAAAAAAAAAAAAAAAGGTAGTTAAGGCCGGTGACTGTTGGACCAAACAAGTTTCTTTTGGTTTAAGTAGCCCGTAGCCCAAACCGGAGGGAAAGGTTTTTTTTTGTTTTTGTTTTTAATTTTTTTTAAAGATTTCTTTATTTATTTATATAAGCGGTGGTGCAGTCAGAAGTGCAGGAGGGTGCGAGAATTCACCAGAGCCAGAGCGGGGAGCAGAGCAGGCAGAAGGACCGAAGTACACTGCTGAGGGAGCAGCGGGCGGCAGGAGAGGTCTGCAGCTGGGGATCGAACCAGCGCCGCAGAGGCCGCGGGCAGCTTCGCAACCCAGCGCTCAACCGCTGCGCCACAGGGGAGGCCCAGAGGGAAAGGTTTTTGAGGAAAAAGGATAAAGTTGAGTAGAGGAAAAGGCCACATACGCTTTAAAGAGCTGGGAAAATGCCTTAGTAATTAAGCTATTCACACTTTAAAGCGTGAGTTTGATGTGCGCAAATGGCACTGTGACTTCTCATTAGCACTCTAATTTTGTTCCAGTGCTCAACCTTCCTATTTACTAACTTTCAGTGTGACCCATTACTTGAATTCTGTCTTGATTTTCAGTTATGTTAGCAGTAATTATAGGCTCCCTACTCCTAAAGGTTATCTAAGGTAAATTAGAAATGGTTGAAACAACGGTCATCCCGGGTTACTATTTCCCACCATACCTAATTGTGTGTTAAAAAAAAAAAAAAAAAGTTTGTAAGTAATTTCATTCCAAAGAAGAACAAGTAAAAGGTAAAAGCTGCAATCATGACGAACATAAAAACCACACAATTGCTGCTAGTGGTCTGTCACTCAATTCAACTTACTTGGTTTGCAAATATGAACCCATGTCCACTGGATATTTAGCTCCTTACTGTGCAAAATCCTATTCATTTGCCCTCTGATTCTTTGGCTCTGTGCCTGATCTGAGGGCTTGCCTGTGATGGAATCCTTTAACAGTCTTGCAGAATTAACTTTTTGCTGCTACACGCAGAAATTTTAGCACATGAAAATATTTTGCTAACCATTAGCAAAATGGTTGTTAGAAAGCTAGTTAAAATCACTGAACAACTGTTAGCCTTTTCCCTGTTTTCTCTTTCCATGCTGCTATGGAGTTTTTTAGAGATCTAGACTTTTGTCTCCTCTTCCTCTACTACATTAAAGTGGACCACAGGTCATTTTTAATAAGACTACAATAGTACTTTGTTAAACAGTATCAAGTGCTATTCTTAAAGATCAGTAAAGATCAGTAGCTGAACACTAAATAAGCCAATGTGATAAAACTGTATTTTTCTCTGGTGGCATATCTTATGCTACCACTCCTGCCTTCGTACATAGTTTATTTCTGGTGAGTATCTTTCTGCTTATTTGTAATCCACAAAGTCTGGGAACATGTCTGTATTGTAGTGCCAGGAAGGGCACTGAGCAGCTTTTCTATGATCCAAGCAGACTGGGGTAAAGGAGAGTCCTGGAGCCCTCGGTGATGGCTTTCTCAGGCTTTTATAGAGATGCAGTGCAGCAAGCAGGTACGCAGCAAGCAAGCACAGATAGGGGAACGGGGGCAGCACAGGGCAGCAAGGAGGCAGGCAGGCCTCCAAGCCCCCAGGCCCCCACTCCTCCCACCTACCACCCAAGTCTTCACTCTGGGCTTCTCTGGCCCTCTTTCTCCCCTTCTCTCTCCTGCCTCTGCTTCTCTTGACAGGTATCTCAATACAGAGCCATGGCCCACAGAAGTAAACAACATAACTTACAACAATGTAACAAAATACAGTTGCCACATCAGGCAACACAGTCCTAATGACAGGAGGGCAGAAAAGCCTGAAAACCATTATGCTACGTGTATGTTCTTTATGTCTCTCCAAGGTCTGGTGCATTGTCTACCTGTACCGCTAACACTCTTCATTTGTTGTATGGATACTTTTTTTAACTATTTATTTATGCATACAACTGGCGTGGGGGGGGTGTGAGAGGATTCACCAGAGAGTGGGGAGCAGAATAGGCAGATCTACTGAAATACACTGCTGAGGGAGCAGCACAAGAACCAAAAGAGGTCTGCTGTGCCATGTGGGTTGCTCCCCAGCCCGCCTGGGATAGAACTCGTGCTGCGGTGGCTGGTGATAGCTTGACAGTGCTGTGTCTTTAACCCCTGCGCCACCAGGGAAGCCCTATATGGATAATTTAAATTTTAAATATTCCATCATCTAGAATATGTAGATTTATTTGGGTAATAAATTTGGATAGCCAATACACAACTTATTCTTAGTATTCTTGGTCTATTGTGGTAAGTTTCCTCTTGATAAAAGCAGTAATGTTACAGACTGCTTCTGGTTGAAAGGGGGAGGAGAATCACTGCACAGTGAATAGGTATCATTTTCCCTGCCCCATTTACAAGCAGCAACATTGTCAACATCCCTGACCATTAACCAGACTCCCTGAATTGGAGGCCACTTGGGAAGGAGCAAGGTGGATATATATAGATGGAGGTGGAATGAAGGAGGGGAGAGACACTTAGAGCCTTGGAGAAGAGCTGAGTATAACCAAGACATGTGGAAAAGCTGCTCCTGGGACTTTAGAGTTTTGGCAGAGACAATAGCAGCCATTAGCATGACCTCATGGTAGATCATGTGGTACATTTTAAATTTTGGGTCTCTCCTAATCTTGCTCTTTAGGACATGCTTGGGCCCTTTCTTGTGGTTCCCTGACAGAAGATGCCTTGGACTGATGGCAAGTTTGGGGGACTCAGCCACCCTGCTTTTGATTCAACTTGTCTGGGCATTTGTCCACAAGGAGATGAGTAATTTTCAGTTTTGCTGGGAATCTTACTTGAAATCCTTTCCTCTCGATCTCACTCTCACTAGTGCACTTTTGCTCTCTCTTAATTTGTACACCAATTCTATTAAAATTCTTTCACACCAAGGGTCTGCTTTATTTGTCTTTATGTGCGTAGATGGCCAGACTGTCTTTTAGAATATATCCATCAACAATTTGGGGTCCCTGAATACTTGCATACTTCAGTTGCATACTTCCAGTAACACTGTCTGTAAAAATTCTTTATGCCTAGTTGCTTCAGTTTTATTATTAAGCAGAAAATACCCAAAATGAATACTTTGTGAATACAGAACATTATATAGGCAGAAGCTTCATAATATCAGAAAGTTGTGATTTGAATGTGTAAGGCATTCAATGTTTATTAAACTGAATGAAATTTACCATACAACTATCACCACCCTAGGAATTCACATTTCTCACAGGCATGGCTAAGTTCTATCTTATATTTTTCTGTCACAATTGAGGTACTCAGGTGTTGCCCAGATTAACCTTAAATCATCTGGTTATTTGCATAATAGGTCTTGGTTATGGTTTACAGTGCTAAGTCTGTTAAGTGAGACCTGAAGGAATTTCCTCCTCCTGTCTCTCATGTGACCTGAAATGTCTGGGGAAAACCCAGAACTAAACCCTGCTAAATATGGAGCTGTTTTGTTCTGCAACTTTATTTCCAGTACAATTACAAATCCATCACCCCTGCCCATTCCCCAAACAATAAAAACAAATACTTCCTTTCTAAAAAAGAATTAGTTTCTCTGTATTTTTCCGTTTGAAAACAAAAGGCAACACATCAGCACTTCCCTGCTGATTTTTAAAACTCTTTGGAAGAAGGTGGGAATGTTTTATAGAGTAGTATAATTTAAAAATGAAGCAGTGATATCTATTATTTAGAGAATGAGGAAATGGAAATCAGAGTTGACAGAGGTGAAAGGGAATCTTCTAACTTACTGACAGCCTTGTCACAAAATGTATCCTTGGTATTGTATTACACTGTTGTCATTTATGATTATTTCACATAT